TTACAGATTTTGGTTTCTGTAGATCGGTTAATTACGATCCTTCAAATGAAAATCAAGTTTACGGAGTTGTGCCATATATTGCTCCTGAAATTTTGCGTGGATTTAAATATACACAGTCAGCAGATATTTATTCTTTCGGAATTCTTGTGAATGAAGTGGCAACAGGTATACCACCTCATAACGATAATCCACGTGATATAACACTTGCGTCAAGAATTATTGAAGACTTTCGTCCAATGATCAATGACCAAACTACACCTTTATGTATTATTCAATTAATTAAACAATGTTGGGATGCCGATCCTGGGAAACGACCAACTGCTCGGGAATTGAAAGATCAATTTGACAAATTGCTTGAATTCAATATTTCTGAGTTTCAGTTTGAACATACGCCAAGTAACTTTCAAGTTCAAAAATCTTCTGAAGGTATTACCTGATTTATCTATTTCAAATCTAATTCACAACAAGCCATGCTCAATTATTCAACAATTTTAATCAATTACTACATTCTCAGGTTTTAAAGATTCTATCTTAGACTCTGGTTTAATTGATTTACGAATTCCGAACTCGTATACAATTTTAGTTCAGGCCGTTTGCAGTTAATTTTTCGTTTAACGCTATCACCTCTCCATCTCCTGAGCTCCCCCTCAAATTAAACAAATAGAAGTAACAATTGATCGATATAAAGGTCTGCATGACTGCCGGGAGTTTCCGGCTTACTGTCGGGATTTTTCGGTACACTATATGTTTACTTTGTTTAACCCCAGGAAATATTGTGAGAGGGGTCGATCTAAAGGAGTATTTCGTATTCATCTTTATGTAAATGTGACTTGATTTGTACATGCCCAGATATATCAGAGTGTTCGAACGGCAGTATTGAAGTATGCCCGGCTCTTAATTTGGGATGTGTTGTTGTTCTGATGATTCTACTGGAACGAGCTACTCATTGCAACAAAAGTTTAGAAACAACGATTTAGAATTTTAATCTAAAATTGAATAAAATGTATATAATTTCATTTAAAAAAGAATGGAACTTTTCCATTCACTATAAATTCGTTTTAGCATAAATCATCATAATTCTTGAAATGTTTCATTTGTAACTTATTTTAAAACTCGACTTAAATTAATAACTAAATAATGACAGTCTTGTGATCTTATTCGAACTGCTGAGACTTGTGTATTTTGTATTTGCTGGGATCTTGCTTATAAAACTTTTTAAATGCATATATTAAACAGATTAAACCGGAGTTACAATGTCTTCAATCAACGAAATTAATACTGGTCAAACCTTTCGTGATGTCGATACTGTACAGTACATGAAATTTAATTTACCGAAATTTACGTTATCTGTTAATTCAATCAAATGGTGTCTATATGTTGGTCATGGCCTTGATAGTGTCGTTATAATGTAAGTATCTGGTATTTTTACAATTTCAATTTAAATTTGAGGTTCGTAATTGGACAAGTGGAATACTACTATTAATAACTAGAGATATATCTCGCGAAAGATGATACCAAATTACATCATATCTCGCGCGAAGTAAAATTTTATTAAGAAAATCCTAGAGGTTAGTGATTTATCAAAATTAAAAAAGATGATTTGTGGAATAAATGCTAGTTTTGCCTCACGCGAGGTGCATTGTTGTGAACTGGGAAAGACTTCTTTACTCGGCGCCGATTTCAGCACAAATATAAATGTGGGATATAATGATCTTCTGGACTGATAGATAGTAGTCCATTATTCGACTCTATCATACCAAAAATAAATAAGTATCTGAATATGTAAATATACGTAAATCAAATACAAAAATTTCTATTTAAAATAAGTAAACATTTTCGACTTCTTTATTCGTCCGATACATTACATAAAATTGATAAAAAAGAATATGTAAGACTCGCGATTACTTTAATAGAAATATATAAATCAAATGAGTTTATGTTGCCTACGGTAGACGATAATTCCATATGATTCTATTGAAGATACTTGTTGTTCTGTTGCTCCACGCGATAAATAGTGAGACGTTGGTAATAAATAGAAAGGTGCATACATTTAAATACTTTTTCAATGTCTTCGTTTAACTTTTTTCGACAACCTCCAAAAATCCTATTTCTAAAACAGTAGCATTACATTGATTGAATATATCCCATCTTGAGAACATCTAATGCTAACCCGTAGTTTAAATTGTCATATCTCATTCCTTTGAGTTTTGCTCGATTTGTTTTCTACCTCCCCTCTGTGCGAAAGATACCTTGTTAGTAACCCTTACTACACGTTCTTTATCATATTCTTCTTCAATCCACTGGTTATGCGTTATAATTTCTGATTGCGATAATACAAATTTGCGTAACCGACTAAGTTCATTTCTTCTTACTACAAAATCGGTACATAATTTTTTAATTCCGGCACTTTTGGTTAAGTCTCTTATA